TTCACAGTCTGCTTTGGACTTAACTATCTTTAGCAGTTTAGTATCATCTGCAAACTTTGCCATCTCACTGTTTACCCCTTTCTCCAGATCATTTATGAATAAGTTGAATATAATCGGTCCGAGGACTGACCCTTGGGGAACACCACTAGTTACCCCTCTCCATTCTGAGAATTTACCATTAATTCCTACCCTTTGTTCCCTGTCTTTTAACCAGTTCTCAATCCATGAAAGGACCTTCCCTTTTATCCCATGGCAGCTTAATTTACATAAGAGCCTTTGGTGAGGGACCTTGTCAAAGGCTTTCTGGAAATCTAAGTACACTATGTCCACTGGATCCCCCTTGTCCACATGTTTGTTGACCCCTTCAAAGAATTCTAATAGCTTAGTAAGACACGATTTCCCTTTACAGAAACCATGTTGACTATTGCTCAACAGTTTATGTTTTTCTATGTGTCGGACAATTTTATTCTTAACTATTGTTTCGACTAATTTGCCCGGTACAGACGTTAGACTTACCAGTCTGTAATTGCTGGGATCACCTCTAGAGCCCTTTTTAAATATTGGCGTTACATTAGCTAACTTCCAGTCATTGGGTACAGAAGCCGATTTAAAGGACAGGTTACAAACCTTAGTTAACAGTTCCGCAACTTCACATTTGAGTTCTTTCAGAACTCTTGGGTGATTGCCATCTGGTCCTGGTGAGTTGTTAATGTTAAGTTTATCAATTAATTCCAAAACCTCCTCTCGTGACACTTCAATCCGTGACAGTTCCTCAGATTTGTCACCTACAAAAGCCGGCTCAGGTTTGGGAATCTCCCTAACATCCTCAGCCGTGAAGACTGAAGCAAAGAATCCATTTAGTTTCTCCGCAATGACTTTATCATCTTTAAGCGCTCTTTTTGTATCTCGATCATCAAGGGGCCCCACTGGTTGTTTAGCAGGCTTCCTGCTTCTGATGTACTTAAAAAACATTTTGTTATTACCTTTGGAGTTTTTGGCTAGCCGTTCTTCAAACTCCTCTTTGGCTTTTCTTATTACATTCTTGCACTTAATTTGGCAGCGTTTATGCTCCTTTCTATTTGCCTCACTAGGATTTGACTTCCACTTTTTAAAGGAAGTCTTTTTATCTCTCACTGCTTCTTTTACAAAAAAGCAAATCACTGTGTCTGTTGTCAGCTCTCCTGACTCTGGTATCCCACCTCTGACACCTAAGTCAGCTCTCTTCCAACAGGAGTGCACTTTAGGCCCACTGCAAGAGAAATTGGTAACACAGTATTCTTAGATTCCCTTATACGTCATTCCTCTTCTACTCTGCACCTGTCTGGGGACAGAGGGGTCACAAACAGCAGGCTGGCCAGTCCCCTCCATCAAGCATCTCAGCCCAGATGTCAAGGTCTGATCCCAAACAGCCTCTGTGTGCCCCCTCCCCTGCCCGACTGACACTTATCAGGGGCTACTCAGGCAGGGGGCAAAGAAAATGCACCACAAACCTAGCCCAGTGCAGCAGCGATCCACAGACCGGACGCATCTCTGATGCTCTGGGAAGAGATGTCTCAGACTGGGACATGGCACCATCTGCCGATGCCTGTTAGTATCATCTCATTGTTCCCCTGGTTCTTCCCCATCAGCCTGTCTGCAGCCACTTGTTTTCTCATAGACTGTGAGCAACTGGAGACAGGGGCCATTGCTGTGTTTTGTGTTTGTACAGCACCTGGCACGGTGGGGTCCTGGGCCATAGCTGGGAGTCCACCTAGGTGCTACTGTGATACACCTAAAAAGTTATGTGCAGCGGCAATGGGATCCTGTGCCATGGCTGGGTCTTCTAGGCGCTACCATAATACACCTAATAAACACTGTACAGTGCCCAGCACAATGCAGCCCTGGTCATCTGAGAGTCCCGGACATGCTCAAGGTCTCAGGTTGGATGCCAGGAACCAGAGTCACCCCAGGGTCCCAGCTCAAGCTGCCATCAGATCTGTGGGTGTCACAGCGCCGGGCAGAGCGGTAAATGCTGACTGAGCCAGGGAGCAAGCTGGGGCACTTGGTGAGCTTGGCCCAGTCACACCCCCGCGGTGAGAATCCAGACGATGAAGTGTTCTCCATCCCAGCCCCAGGGACACAGACACCTCCCCAGGTCCAGGACTCTGTCCTGGAGAACTGATGCTTCACAAAGGATCTAGAAGGGCTTACAGTGAACAAGCAGTGCCATGAGCTCCCCACATACCTCTGGGACAAAACTGACCAGAGCCTGGGCTGTAAAATCAGGGAAGGCATTTTGTCTCTCTATGCAGCATTGGTGAGAGTAAGAGCAGCCCTGGGATGGGGGACAGGCTGGTTTGGGGGAGTGGGGAATGGACTTGGGGCCTTTCCCCTATAGGGGGTGCCAGCTACGATACAACCTCATAGGAGGGGACTGGCTGGGTCTAGGGGTACAGAATGAAATGTGGGGCCTTTCCCCTCTTGGACATATCTGTGCTGCTGTCACTGTTCCAAGCACCTGTAGCTACCAGCAGGGTCCAGACAGCAGGTCGGTCCAGCACTGGTAGGGTGAAATGATGGATCTAGAATGGATGTACAGGGATGTGCACCAATCTAGAAGGGATCTACAGGCGGCTATGTCGGTATGGATAGATCTAGAATGAACAGCATCAACTGAAGTGAATCTAGCAAGAATTTAAATGGAGCGAGTTGGGTATTGATGCATGTATATTGATTTTGAATCAATCTAGAGAGGTTCTGGAATTGTTCAGGGGTGGGGAAACTTTTTGGCCCGAGGGCCACATCTGCGTATGGAAATTGTATGGTGGGCCATGAATGCTCATGAAATTGGTGGTTGGGGTGCAGGTGGGCGTGAGGGCTCTGGCTGGGGCTGCGGGATCTGGGGTGAGACTGGGGATGAGGAGTTTGGGGTGCAGGAGGGTGCTCTGGGCTGGGACCGAGGGGTTTGGAGGGTGGGAGGGGGATCAGAGATGGGGCAGGGGGGTTGGGGCATGGGAGGGGGTCAGGGGGACAGGCTCCAGGTGGCACTTACCTCAAGCCGCTCCCAGAAACAAAGGCTTGTCCCCCCTCCGGCTCCTATGCGGAGATGCGGCCAGGTGGCTTGCACGCTGCCCTTTGCACAGGCATCACCCCTGCAGCTCCCATTGGCTGTGGTTCCTGGCCAATGGGAACTGCAGGGGAGGCGCTTGGGGTGAGGGCAGCATGCAAGCCACCTGGCCGCACCTCCGCATAGGAGCCAGAGTGGGGTCAGGATGCTGCTCCCGGGAGCCGTCCAGAGTGGGGTAAGCCCCTGATCCCACTCCCCGACTGGAGCACCGGAGTGGGACAAGCCCCAGACCCCACTTCCCTGTGGGAGCTCGAGGCCCAGATTAAAATGTCTGGAGGGCTGGATGTGGCCCCTGGGCCATAGTATGCCCACCTCTGTTTGAAAGTGACACTGATATCTGGATGGACAGATCGCACACCTCATTCATCAGATATAGCAATTCCAAGAGAGGGATCCAGAGCCAAATAATGGAAGAGCTGAGACTGGATCTACCAATAGGCAGATACTAAAGGATGGAAACAGAGTTAATGTCAGTCACTGTGAGTTCATGGAGAACAGATCATGTTCAATGACCATGCTGTCATTTCTGAACAACCTTAAAAGTCTGGTTTATTAAGGTGACAGTGCTGTTGTGATATGTACGTAGATTCCCGTAGGGAGTGTGCCCAACTACCACACAATGTTCATATTGATAAATTAGCTCTCTAAACATTCAACATGGCTCCAAAATGGTTCTCCTCAAAATATGATCCTCACTGGGGAATCAGCATCCACTGCGGTGTTGCTGGTGCGTCCCACAAAGATCTGATCTGGGCCTCAGGTTATTCAGTATCTGTATCAATGATCTGTAAGTTCATGTAAATTGTTGCTGGCAATGTCTGCAGAGAACTCAAAGATTGATGGGGTGGAGGACACCTCCAAGCTACAGAGCTACTTGGGTCACCTGATCAGTTGGGTGCAATTAGACCTGCACATGAATCCAGCCAAATGCAAGGTCAAACATCGAGGGAGAAGGGATGTCATTCAGATTGGCAGCACGGGAGCTGTGTCCTGGAGAGCAGGGGCTCTAAAAGGGAGCATGGCGGAACCCATCCAAACAAGAGATTTCAGTGAAATGCAGGAGCTAAGCAGGCAGATACCATCCTTGGGTGTATAAACCAGGGGATATTCAGTAGCAGCAAGGAGTTGGGGTCACCTCTGGATTCGTCCCTTGTGGGACCATGACTGGAGATTTTGTCCAGCTCTAATGTCCACACCTTTAGCAGGACTTTAGCAAATTGAAAAGAGCTAAAAGAACAAGCTGGTGGGGAGAGCTTCAAGGAGAGTGATCTCCTGAGGGTTTTGGAGGCGAAGAGGGGACATGGCCCCTCTGTAGGAAACTCCATGGGGCGGGGGTTTTGACAGCAGGGTCTCTTCAGCCTCTGTGGCCCAGGCAGGACAAGACCCAAAGGCCAGGAGCTGGTGTCAGAAAAGGTCTGGTTGAGACTAATATTCAAACATTAAACATGGAGCCATGGGAACAACTGACTCGGGGCCGTGGTGGAGGCAGCAGCGGCAGGGTGGGTTCTGGCTCCGGGGTGTCCACCAGGGGGTCAGGTTGGAAGGTAATAATGGTCCCTCTAGGCCTTGAAATCTATGGGTCTGGGTATCTAGATTCAGAGAAACTCAGAGGTGTTTCTTAAACCTGTAGTAGGGAGGGGGGAAGGCTGACCACATCCACCGCCTGTCTGGGTGGGCACTAGAGCAGGGAGGAACCCCCACACACACCCTGATGTGGGCACAGCTGTGGCTGGAGGCTTCTCCAATTGGCGTCTCCACCCCTGGGCCATCTGGGGTGGGAGTTTCCGGGCATCAGGGTACACGTTCCTGTGGTTGCCAGGCCCTGCCCTCCCCTCTCCACGCCTGGTCCATATAACCCCCGGGGCTCAGGCAGAGGCTCCGTGCCCATCCCTGGATGTCTCTGACAATGCAGCTCTTGATCCTTGTCCTGCTTCCCGTGGCCTTTCTCCTTCCCACTGGGTCTCAGGCTGGTGACTTTGGGGTGGGATCAGGGCCCGTGGGGAGCATGACCCTCCCATATGGGGAGTTGTGGTCAGTGTTTAGGGTCTCCCCCTTGCTCCTGCTGGGGCCAAGCACCTGTATTGAACCCTGCATCCTCTCCTGAGTGCGGCTGGGGCTCTCACAGCAGCACGAGGGGTTGGGTGACCAAGCCCCCACAGGCTCCTTTGGGACCCCACTGCCAATCCCTGTCCCAGACAGGGAGGTTGGCCATGGGGCTAGGCCACTGGGCTGGGACCCAAGAAACCTGGGACCATTCTCAGATCTGCCCAGGATCTCTGTGGACAGGGATTTGTATGGATTGAGGATGGTCACCGAAATCCCTTAGGCAGGTTTACAAACAATCTCCCTGGACCTCAGTTTCCCTCTCTGTACAATGTGAAGAATAATTCAGCTTGTGGCTGGACGCTGTCTGGGTCAGTGAAAGGCCTGGAGCAAGGGAGTCCCTGATCTCGGTTAATTTCTGCACAGCCCTTGGCATAATAGGGGCTTGGTTCTCGGTTTATGTGCCACCCTCATGCAAATAACAGCAATTTGTTAAAACTGAGATTTTCCAACACACCTACCCACCTGGGTGGAAACTTCTTCAGAGGTGATCACAAAACGTTTTTTATTTTCCAGGGGAAAAAAAACTCCAAAGTGGTACTTTTAATTTTTCACCTAAATATTACCCAACACTAGAGGGGTAGAATCAGTTTCACCACAATAATTCAGACCGGTTTGAGACGAGGCTTTCTGAGAAAAAATGACATTCCTAAAAAGTTTGCCAGGTCGGTCTGGGAGCAGCCCTGGCTGTTGACTGTGGGCTGAAGGAGAAGAAGCATCCACAAGGGACCTGTCAATGCCCTTCCAGGTGCTGCCTGGCTTAATCTGGGGTGACTTGAGCCCCCAAAGCTGTTAACTCCAGGCAGCACAATTACTGACCCACTCCTGGTGCGTTTGGCACCGATGGTCCACACAGCGAGGTCAGAGCTTTAGATTTACCCTCCAGCCCCATGGGGTGTCAAGTCTGGGGGAGAGGTGAGGAGGTGGCAGAATTCCAGGCACAGGGATCCCCCAAGAAGAGCATCACAGGGGGTGGGATGAGGTTGTAGAGACTCCCCTTCGGGATGGGGAGCTCGGTCCCAGCCCAACCCAGGGAGATGATGGGGCTCTTTCTATGAACCTGGTCTCTCCCCAGGTGAGATCATTGGGGGCCAGGAAGTCAAGCCCCACTCCAGACCCTACATGGCCTATCTGGAAATAGAACGCAAAGGGAAGACCTATATCTGTGGAGGGTTCCTGGTGGCGGAGAACTTCGTGCTGACGGCCGCTCACTGCAATGGAGAGTAAGCACCTCTGTGCTGGGTATGTCAGGGCAGGTCGGGTGTTAGTGGGTGATGGGGGAGCTGGGAGCTCTGGTGCCGTCGTAGGTTGCAGGGAAGGAGGAGTTAGTGCGACAGGCTGAGAGAGTAGAACCCAGGGATATGATCTGCTCAGGGGGTGTCGGTGTGTCTCTAGGGGCCTCTGCAAACCATGGTCCAGATCCAGCGCTGGGTAAACCAATGGAGCTACAGCCGTTGACACCAGCTGGGGTCTGGCCCATTGACCTGATCAGGGCAGAGAGTCACAGCCCCAGGACCGCTCTGCAGGGCTCTGGGCTGGGAGGAGCTGGCATAGACCCCTGTCTGGATCTAAACGGGGGTGGGGAGGAGCTGAGACCCAGAGGGCAGGAGGACTGTGGGGCGTGAAGGAGCTCAGAGGAACAACACAAGGGGCTGGTAGAGACACAGGCTGAGAACCCAACGCCACTGGGCAGGGTCTGTGTGCTGCAGCCAGGGCCTCCTAGAGGGGAAAAGTCCCCTGTGCTATTTCCCAGCCCTGAATCTGAAAACTGAGTCTGAGATCACAGACTGAGATCCCCGGCTGCCCTGTCCTCCCCATATCACTGCTCATGAGTCAGACCCACATGTGCCCCTCCCCCCGCCTCACGTACGCTCCTGCCCCTAATGCCCCATGTATTGCTTTTGGCTTTCACAGTAAGATCACTGTCAAGCTGGGAGCCCATAACATTAGAAAACAGGAACGGAGCCAACAGAAAATCTCCGTGCACCACCGGATCCCCCACCCGCAGTACAAGGAGACAACCCTGAACAATGACATCATGCTGCTGCAGGTACCCTCCCATTCCATCACCCCACCCCCAGTGACCTCACAGAGCTGCAGATACCGCCTCTATCCCATCCTCCGATCCCCAGTGATCTTCCACTCATTGCTTTGTGTGTTTCTGGGTATTGGGGTGTGTCGCTGTGTCCTTGAGTGCGACCCTCACATTGATCTTCATCGTTCTTGTGTCTCAGCTGGCAGACAGAGCGAAGCTGAACAGATGGGTGGATACCATCGCTCTGCCCCGCGCCAGCGAGAGAGTAAAGCCAGGGGACATGTGCAGCGTCGCCGGCTGGGGCGACACCAGCACAGAGAGTGAATCATCCCCCGCCACTCTCCAGGAGGCGGACGTGGTGGTGATGCCGGATCCCGCATGTCCGAGGAAGCCTAATGGGCCATACAGCAACTATAAATCATCCACCATGATGTGTGTGGGGGATCCAAAGACGCGCAAAGACTCTTGGAAGGTGATTCTCCTCCTGTCTTCAAGCATCTTTGCTAAATCATTATTATTAATGAGGCTGTTGGTGTTGCAGTCCGGCCTATGAGTGGCGGTTAGCGATCAGGCCCCACTGTGCTTGGTGCCGTACAAATGAATGATAAAATATCTAGTTTTCTCCCAAGGGAAGCAGAGACCAGCCCTAGGGGTAGGAGTAGGGGTGGGGGGACTGATACCAGCTGGACATTGGGGGAGCGAAGCAAAGACCAGCTCGACATAGGGGGCTGTCACTGAGCTGTGCATCAGCGGGAATGACTCACTGAGCTGTTCTCCATTTGTGGCTTGTTTTATTTCACAGGGCGATTCTGGAGGCCCCCTGGTGTGCAGGAAAACAGCCCAGGGCATCGTCTCCTGGGGGCCACCCACCCCTCCTGGGGTGTACACAAAAGTCTCCACCTTCATCCCCTGGATACAGGCGACAATGAGGAGGCTGCAGCCCTGAGCCAAGCCGGGAATAGCTGCAGGGGCCGGAGCTGCGTCACTTCTGTGCTTTGCTGATGCCCAGATGTAGGGCCTGCTTTGCAGATTGGCTGAGCCCCCCTCTCTCCAAGATACCCCCCCTCCATTGCTCCACTCAGGCTGTGCCCAGCCCATGAGCATCAAGGCACAGAGCCTCGGGGAGTTAGGAACGAGGTTCAAGACCAGTTCCATCAGCTCCCTTGGCAATCCCAACGCAGATCCTCAGGCTGCCTCTTCACTAGGGAAACAGCTGGTTTATTTCCCCGGGGGTAACAGACACGGTGAACCCTGGGACAGACCCGGCAGTTTGTAGCTCTCCCCATGTCATCTGGTCGAGTGGCCATTGATTCGGGGATCTTCATTGTTACCTGACCTGCTAACTCCTGTGAAAACTGCAGCCTGCCCTGTCCTCACTGAGCCTCTCCCACGTGTTAGTTCATCGGGCTGCCACCGCCCGTTCCAAACACACCTGTTCCCAGCGCTGGCGAGGCCAGTGGGAAGGAAACGCAGAGAAGGCTGCACTGAACTGATTGCAGATCAATCCCCGGTGCTGATCCCTCCTTCCCACTTCGCCTGCCCCACCCTGCTGCGTGGCCTGCTGCATTTCGCTCACTGCTACATTGCCAGCAATGAATAAAAATGAAGTTACAAAAAAAAAAGTGTTTCAGGTACTGAGCGATCAACCCGAGCTGTGAAATCCAGAGCAGCTGCTGCATCTGCCAGGGCCAGGTGGGAATTAACGCCAACAGGGGAAGGCTGGGCTTGTGGTTAATGCGCTAAACTGGGACCTAGGACACATCACATTTTTGACATTGAGTGCACGTCCCCTCCCTTTTTGTCCACTTGATCCTTCCTGACTAGCTGGTAACCATGGATTTTAACCGTCCAGTCATGGGAATCATCCCAGAAGATCCCAGTCACACCTGCTACACCAAACTGATGCTCCTAGAGGAGCAATTCCAATTCCTCGTGTTTGTTCCCCAGACTCCTCGCACTGGTGCAGGGGCAAGCCAAGAATTTCTTGTCTTCATTTAATTGGCGTTCCTGGATTAATTTTGTTCTTGATTTTTCCTGAGAGCTCATTTCTTCTCCCTTTTTACCCCCCCTCTTTGCTTATTAGTTTAGCCCTCCCTTGACTCCTCTAGCCTGCCTGTCCCCATGGAGATTGGTCCCCCTTCTCCTGAGGTGGAGGCCATCCAAATTCTACAGCCCCCTCTCCCCATAGAAGATAGACTGACATTCCACAAACCCTGCACCCTCCTCACCACCAATATAGAGAGTAATCAGACCCCATCACAGCCTGTGTTTTAGGCTAATCCAACACAGCACATTCCCTCTCCTCTCATCAGACCTTCTCTCCAGTCCCCTGAGCGCCCTCACAGCTCTTCTCTGCATCTGTTCCGGTCTGAATTCCTCTGTCCTGCACACGGGTGACCCAAATTGGTTCCAGATGGGAAGCCGGGTTGATGGGAGCTCCTGGCACACCCTGAACAGTGATGGGAGGTGTTTGCTGAGGTCGCAGCACTGGTCCAGGGTGGCTGGAGTCCAGCATCCCATGATCCTGGGAAAGGTGCCCAGCAGTAGCCCTGGTTCCGGGAGCCTGCCTTGGGAGCCCCAGAGCTAGGGGCTGTGGCTTGGCTTGGCCCAGATGTGCCTCGCTCCGAATCATGTGAGGCCTGGCATTTGGGTCTGCTAGCCACAGATTAGCTCCTGCACGGTGGGGCTGAATCAGGTGCAACCAGGGTGATGCCTCCCCCTCTATAGGTAGAGGCAGCGGGAGCAGGAAATGGAGAGGTTGCACCCCTGAGAAAGCCCAGGTAACACAGATGCACAGGTCTGTGGGGGACAGATGTGGCTTCTGGATGAGACCCTCAGAAACCTCAGGGTCATCATAGACTCATAGACTTAGGCCTGGTCTACACTACGAGTTTAGGTCGACTTTAGCCGCGTTAAATCGAATTAAGCCTGGACACGTTCACACGACGAAGCCCTTTCTTTCGACTTAAAGGGCCCTTTAAACCGGTTTCTTTACTCCACCTCCGACGAGGGGATTAGCGATAAAATCAGCCTTAGGGGGTCGGAATTGGGTTAGTGTGGACGGAATTCGACGTTATTGGCCTCCGGGAGCTATCCCACAGTGCTTCATTGTGACCGCTCTGGACAGCACTCTCAACTCAGATGCACTGGCCAGGTAGACAGGAAAAGCCCCGCGAACGTTTGAATTTCATTTCCTGTTTGCTGAGCGTGGAGAGCACAGGTGACCCCGCAGAGCTCATCAGCACAGGTAACCGTGATGGAGTCCCAGGATCGCAAAAGAGCTCCAGCATGGACAGAACGGGAGGTTCGGGATCTGCTCGCCATATGGGGAGATGAATCAGTGCTGGCCGAACTCTGAAGCAGTAAACGAAATGGCAAAATATTAGAAAAGGTCTCCAGGGCCATGAAGGACAGAGGCCATAACAGGGATGCACAGCAGTGCCGCGTGAAAATTAAGGAGCTAAGGCAAGCCTACCACAAAGCCAGAGAGGCAAATGGAAGGTCCGGGGCTGAGCCGCAAACATGCCGCTTCTACGCGGAGCTGCATGCCATTCTAGGGGGTGCAGCCACCACTACCCCAACCGTGTGCTATGAGTCCCTCACTGGAGAAACACACAGGGAAGCGGGTTCTGGGGACGAGGAAGATGAGGATGAAGATAATGTAAATAGCTCACAGCACCAAGGAAGCGGAGAAACCGGTTTCCCCAACAGCCAGGATATGTTTATCACTCTGGACCTGGAACCAGTAACCCCCGAACTCACCCAAGACCCTGTGGGCACACAGGGGACCTCTGGTGAGTGTACTTTTGTAAATATTACACATGGTTTAAAAGCAAGCATGTTTAATGATTAATGATTAATTTGCCCTGGCAATCGCAGCCAGTACAGCTACTGGAAAAGTCCGTTAATGTGTATGGGGATGGAGCGGAAATCCTCCAGGGACATCTCCAGAAAGCTCTCCTTCATGTACTCCCAAAGCCTTTGCAAAAGGTTTCTGGGGAGGGCTGCCTTATCCCGTCCGCCATGGTAGGACACTTTACCACGCCAGGCCAGTAGCACGTAGTCTGGAATCATTGCATAATAAAGCATGGCAGCGTATGGTCCCGGTGTTTGCTGGCATGCAGACAACATCCATTCCTTATCGCTCTTTGTTATCCTCAGGAGAGTGATATCATTCACGCTCACCTGGTTGAAATGGGGCAATTTTATTAAGGGGACATTCAGAGGTGCCCCTTCCTGCTCTGCTGAACAGAAATATTCCCCGCTGTTAGCCACGCGGTGGGGGGAGGGGTGAAGTGATCATCCCAGAGAATTGGGTGTGTGGGGGAGGGTTATTAGTTGGGTTTGTGCTGCACGTTAACCCTGAAACCGCAGCCCCTCCTTTTACATTGCAAATCCATTTTAAATGGCCAACCCAATGGGTGCTTGGTATGGTTAATGATAGCAGTACTCTTTGAAACCATCCCCACATGTTAAGAAGGTTAAAAAAGCCAAAAGACTGTGTCTTACCATGGCTGCCTGCAAGCTGAAATCTGTGGCCTGGCACTGCGTGAGTGATCTCTCACACCAAACCGGCAGGCCCTCAATATAAGAGGAAAAATGCGACCTTGTAACGAAAGCACATGTGCTGTGTAATGTGAACAGCAAAATGTAACGTGAAAGAGTGTACCCATTGTTCTCTAAAATGTATCTTTTTTAACCACCTCTCCCTTCTCATCCACCAGCTGCAAATCGTTCTCCTTCACAGAGGCTAGTGAATATTCGAAAACGGAAGCGAAGGACACGTGATAAAATGTTTACAGAACTACAGACTGCCTCCCACGCTGACAGAGCACAGCAGAATGCGTGGAGGCAGTCAATGACTGATTATCGAAAAGCCCAATATGAGCAAGAGGAGAGGTGGCGGGCTGAATCGCGGGCTGAGGAGGAGAGGTTGCATGCTGAATCGCGCGAGGAACAGAGCAAGTTGCGGGCTGAAGATGAGAGGTGGCGTCAGCTTGCACACAGAAGGCAAGAGTCCATGCTCCGGCTGCTGGAGCATCAAACTGATATGCTACAGCGTATGGTTGAGCTGCAGGAAAGGCAGCAGGAGCACAGACCGCCGCTACAGCCCCTGTGTAACCAACAGCCCTCCTCCCCAAGTCCCATTGCCTCCTCACCCAGACGCCAAGAACACGGTGGGGGGGCCTCCGGCCACCGAGTCACTCCAGCCCAGATGATTTCCCGAGCAATAAGTGTTAAAGTTTTAAAGTTTTAAACTGCAGTGTGTCCCTTTCCTTCCCTCCTCCCCCACCCATCCCGGGCTACCTTTGCAATTATCCCCCTAGTTGTGTGATGAATTAATAAAGAATGCATGAATGTGAAGTAACAATGACTTTATTGCCTCTGCAAGTGGTGCTCGAAGGGGGGAGGGTAGTAGGGGAGGGTGGGGTGGTTGGTTTACAGGGAAGTAGAGTTAACCGGGTGGGGGGGTGTAGGGGCGGAGGGTTCATCAAGGAGAAATAAACAGAAGTTTCACTCCCTAGCCTGGCCAGTCACAAAACTCGTTTTCAAAGCTTCTCTGATGCGCACCGCGCCCTGCTGTGCTCCTCTAACCACCCTGGTGTCTGGCTGCGCGTAATCAGCGGCCAGGCGATTTGCCTCAACCTCCCACCCCGCCATAAATGTCTCCCCCTTACTCTCACAGATATTGTGGAGCGCACAGCAAGGAGCAATAACAATGGGGATATTCTTTTCGCTAAGGTCTGAGCGAGTCAGTAAGCTGCGCCAGCGCGCTTTTAAACGCCCAAATGCACATTCCACCACCATTCGGCACTTGCTCAGCCTGTAATTGAACAGGTCCTGACTCCTGTCCAGGCTGCCTGTGTACGGCTTCATGAGCCATGGCATTAAGGGGTAGGCTGGGTCCCCAAGGATCACGATAGGCATTTCAACATCCCCAATGGTTATTTTCTGGTCCGGGAAGAAAGTCCCTTCCTCCAGCTTTCGAAACAGAACAGAGTGCCTGAAGACGCGAGCATCATGTACCCTTCCCGGCCAGCCCACGTTGATGTCGGTGAAACGTCCCTTGTGATCCACCAGGGCTTGCAGCAACATT